AGCAGCTGCGTTTGCGTCATCGGCAGCAAATTGTTGTCTGCGGCCTTCACTCCAACCTGCAGCAGAAGCAGAGACTCAAAAGACTAGACAGGTACCTGCTGCTGCTGCTGCTGCTGCTGCTGCTGCTGTTGCTGCTGCTGCTGTTGCTGTTGCTGCTGCTGCTGCTGTTGCTGTTGCTGTTGCTGCTACTGGTGGCGCTGAAGAAGTATTACAGCTGTTTTTTCCGCTCTTTCTGCTGCTGCTGCTGCTGCTGTTGCTGCTGCTGCTGCTGCTGCTGCTGCTGCTGCTGCTGCTGTTGCTGCTGCTGCTGCTGCAGGTTTTTAAGCAGCAAATATGGTGTATTGGTGAGCACAGACGTAACAGCTCGTGGTTTAGACTTTAAAGAAATAGAAAAAGTTATAAATTTTAATAAACCGAGAGATACAGAAACTTTCATTCATAGATGCGGCAGAACCGCCAGAGCAGGCAAACACGGTAAACCCTAAACCCTAAACCCTAAACCCTAAACCCTAAACCCTAAACCCTAATTTTTTTTTTAATTTTTTTTTAATTTTTATTTGTTTTTATTAAACTGAGAAATTGATGGCAAACACTAAACCCTAATTAACCCTAATTAGCTTTTTAAACTTACTGTAAACCCTAAACCCTAAACCCTAAACCCTAAACCCTTGTTTGTTATGTCAGCCGTCTACCATGATTTCCTAAACCCTAAACCCTTTATAATATATTGTATGTGGCGGTTTTGAACTTTTGTACCCAGTTTCTCCTAGGGTCTAGGGTTTAGGGTTTAAAGTCTAGGGTTTAGGGTCTAGGGTTTAGGGTTCAGGGTCTAGGGTTTAGGGTCTATGGTCTAGGGTTTAGGGTTCAGGGTCTAGGGTTTAGGGTCTAGGGTCTACGGTCTAGGGTCCATGGTCCAGGGTTTAGGGTTTAGGGTTTAGGGTTTAGGGTTTAGGGTTTGTGGTGTATATGCAGGTGAAGCAATATGTTTTATTAGTAGCAACGAGGCCGAGGGTTGGGGGTTTTTGTTGCGCGGAGTAAATATAGATTTAAGTTTATGTTTGTCTCCTCTAGGGTTTAGGGATTTAGGGTTTGTTCAGCATAATATAAAAGAAATAAATACTTTGTATCAGCTCGCTAATAAAGTAGAACAACTACAACACCAGGTACAAACCCTAAACCCTAAACCCTAAACCCTAAATTTTAAAAAAAAAAAATCACTTTTAGCCGAAATATTAACCCTTATATGTCTGAATATACACTATAAATGTCAACCAATATAAACCCTAAACCCTAAACCCTAATTTTGTAAACCCTTAAACCCTAAACATAGGGTTTAGGGTTTAGGGTTTAGGGGCGTGACGACCTTCTGTTGCTGTCTCTGCATCTATGGGTGCTACATGGATTGTTCCGGGTTCAGGGTTTAGGGTTTAGGGTTTAGGGTTTAGGGTTTAGGGTTTGGGGTTTAGGGTTTAGGGTTTAGGGTNGGTTTAGGGAGAAGAGAGAGAAGATATAAACATAAAAAATAAAATTAAATATAAACAAGATAAAAAAAAATTACTAAAAGTAAGGGTTTAGGGTTTAGGGTTTAGGGTTTAGGGTTTGGGGTTTAGGGAGAAGAGAGAGAAGATATAAACATAAAAAATAAAATTAAATATAAACAAGATAAAAAAAAACTACTAAAAGTAAGGGTTTAGGGTTTAGGGTCTAGGGTTTAGGGTTTAGGGTTTGGGGTTTAGGGTTTAGGGTTTGGGGTTTAGGGAGAAGAGAGAAAAGATATAAACATAAAAAATAAAATTAAATATAAACAAGATAAAAAAAAACTACTAAAAGTAAGGGTTTAGGGTTTAGGGTTTAGGGTTTAGGGTTTGGGGTTTAGGGTTTGGGGTTTAGGGAGAAGAGAGAGAAGATATAAACATAAAAAATAAAATTAAATATAAACAAGATAAAAAAAAACTACTAAAAGTAAGGGTTTAGGGTTTAGGGTTTAGGGTTTGGGGCTTAGGGAGAAGAGAGAGAAGATATAAACATAAAAAATAAAATTAAATATAAACAAGATAAAAAAAACTACTAAAAGTAAGGGTTTAGGGTTTAGGGTTTAGGGTTTAGGGTTTAGGGTTTAGGGTTTGGGGTTTAGGGAGAAGAGAGAGAAGATATAAACATAATAAAATTAAAAATAAACAAGATAGAAAAAAACTACTAAAAGTAAGGGTTTAGGGTTTGGGGTTTAGGGTTTAGGGTTTGGGGTTTAGGGTTTAGGGTTTGGGGTTTAGGGTTT